GCAGGATGACCATGATTTATAAAGGAAAGGAGGACAAAGATGACATAAACAACTACCGTCCTATAACAGTGACATCAGTGGTCTACAGGCTGGCAATGCAGATTATAAAGGAAAGACTGCAGGCATGGATAGAGGATGAGGGCGTGCTGGGGGAACTGCAGAATGGGTTTCGGAAACACAGGAGGTTGGAAGACAATCTGTTCTCACTGACGCAGTGCATCGAAATAGCAGAAAAGGAACTGAGGCCCCTGTGGCTAGCATTTTTGGATATCAAGGGAGCGTATGATAGTGTGGTTCAAGAGGACTTGTGGGAAATACTAGACACACTGGGTGTGGAAGATGGAGTAACTAATCTTTTAAAGGAAATCTATAAAAGTAACAAGGTAGTTATAAAGTGGTAAAAACAGGTATCCAAGCCCACAGAGGTGAAACGGGGACTTAGGCAGGGGTGCCCACTGTCACCCTTGTTATTCATGATGTACCTACAAGGATTAGAGACCAAATTAAAGGGAAGTGGACTTGCCTTCAACCTCTCTTTAGTCAAACAAGGAAAACTCATTGATCAGGCACTATCAGCATTAATGCACGCAGATGATATAGTGATAATGGCCGACAACAACGAAGATTTGCAGAGATTGATGGACATCTGCGGTAATGAGGAAGATAAGTTCGATTTTAGATTCATCAAGAAAAAATCAGCAGTCATGATTTTTAATGATAATGAAGGTAGTAAGCTTAGAATACAGGAGGTCACGCTAGAGATAACAGATAAATACAAATACCTGGGCGTATGGATAAGCAATGGGACTGAGTACCTAAGGGAACACGAAATATACGTGACGACTAAATGTAACAGGAATGCAGCAGTGATGAAAAATAGGGCACTGTGGAATTACAATAGGTATGATGTTGCGAGAGGAATATGGAAAGGGGTCATGGTTCCTGGGCTGACGTTCGGCAATGCGGTCTTGTGCATGAGATCAGAAGTTCAAGCAAGATTAGAAATTAAGCAACGTGGAATAGGTAGGCTTGCCTTAGGAGCTCACGGGAATACACCAAATCAGGGAGTACAAGGTGATATGGGATGGACATCGTTTGAGGGCGGGGAAGCTAGCAGCAAGGTAAAATTTGAGAAGCGATTGAGAGAAATGGGGGAGGAGCGTTCGGCTAGGAAAGTTTTCAGCTACTTGTACATGAAGAATGTCGATACAAAATGGAGGAAGCGAACCAGGAAATTGACTGGTAAATACTTAGAAAACAGCAGGTGGCCAAACCAAAAAGAACTATCGGTTAAGAAGAAAGTGAAGGAAACGGAGACTGATATGTGGAGAATTGGCAGATCTATCGAACTTTTAAGCAGGAAATTGCCAAGGAAAGGATCTATGGTAATACTTGGGTAGTTCTCTACTGTTTGAGGCCAGGATGGGAGTATTGCGAACCAAGACATATCGGGCCAAATACGAAGGGGTAGACACAGTATGTAGTGCGTGTGGAGAGGAAGAAGAAACTGCAGAACACTTGAGGATGTTCTGTAACGGGCTTCACCCTACAGTTCAGGATGATGGCGCAGAGTTTTTCAAAGCACTGGGGTTTAAGGACAGGGAGGGCAAAATAGACTTTAAGCGGGTAGACTTAACTAGAAGGAGGTTATCTGATTGGTGGCTAAAGTCAAGGCATGAGTGAAAATTAAACCCTTCACTGCAAAGTACGAATCCTCAACCTCACTATTTAAAGGAAAAAAAAAGATAAATCTAATGGTTAGTTCACTAAGTATAATGGCTAGGTGGCGTTAGCCGCCCGATCTAAAGGGTACAGCCACATCCATCCATCCATTCATCCATCCAAACAAGGTGTGCGTTTGCTTTGATTTCTTTGTTCCTTTGGCGCCGTGCATAGGTGTTCTCTGGTTCATACGTGCCGTACAGCTCTCACATCGTTTTTCACGTGTTGTGTATGTGTGCTTGTGCTGCTTCGTACTTGCGTCATGCCGGAGCTGGGACAAAAGCATCGAGTGCTGAAAATAGAGGAGAAATCGGACATACCGTATAAACGCGTGTAAGGGCCGCACTTTTTTTTCAAGAAATGAGGGCCAATTTTCAGGGTGCGGCCCATACACGCAACGTGCAATTTTTTTTTTGAAGCAAAAGAAAAAAACGTACCAGCTAGCGAACGAAGAACGTTTATTGCAGCATACAGCATATGTGCTTAATCGTCGTCGCTCAACGAGTCCTCAGACTCGGTGTCCGAGATGGTGTGTTGCGGAGCACCGTCCTCCCACAAGCAGTCATCTTCCGCGCCATCCAAGTTGTTTGATATACCGGTGACTTTAAAGCTTCGGGTCACAACGTCCGTCGAGACTGAGTTCCACGCCGACAGTACCCAACCGAGAACAGCCGCAAGCGGTGCCCTCTTCAGCCGTCCGGTCGGCGTCTGCTCGTGGCTGCCACTTGCCATCCATTCCGTGTAGAGCCTTCTGAATTCCACCTTAAAAGGTCGATTA